AGTAGTAGTAGTAGTAGTAGTAGTAAACGCATTCGTAGTAGTAGTCGTCGTAGTCGTAGTCGTAGTAGTAGTAGGTATGGTAGTAGTAGTAGTGTAGTAGTGTAGAATAGTAGTAGTAGTAGTAGTAGTAGTAGTAGTCGTAGTAGTAGTAGTAGTAGTAGTAGTAGCAGCAGCAGCAGCAGCAGCAGTAGTAGTAGTAGTAGTTGTAGTAGTAAGTAGTAGTAGTAGTAGTAGTAGTAGTAGTAGTAGTAGTAGTAGTAGTAGTAGTAGTAGTAGTAGTAGTAGTAGTAGTAGTAGTAGTAGTAGTAGTAGTAGTTAGTAGTAGTAGTAGTAGTAGTAGTAGTAGTAGTAGTAGTAGTAGTAGTAGTAGTAGTAGTAGTAGTAGTAGTAGTAGTAGTAGTAGTAGTAGTAGTAGTAGTAGTAGTAGTAGTAGTAGTAGTAGTAGTAGTAGTAGTAGTAGTAGTAGTAGTAGTAGTAGTAGTAGTCGTACTGGTAGGCAACATATACTTTTGGCGCTCCGCGTAGGTTTCTCGGATCCGCGCCGCGCCCCCCCGGCGGCGCCTCTGGCGCCGCCCTCGGCGCGTTCCGCCGCCGGTCCAAGCATTTCAAGCGGAGCGCCAGAGGTTTATGCTCATGGCGTCTTGTTTCTTCTGTACTCGCACAGTGCCCACTCGCAAACGTCCGAAAAACAGGTGTTGGCCTCGACGCTATGTTTCGTGGATTCCCCGCGGCGGATCCAGGCCATTTGCGAATGGTTACTCTGCGAGTAGTGGAACGCGCCTGTCTAAAGACAGTCCCGCTCCCCCGTCGTGGGGTTTTGGGCAGGGGCTGGCATCTCTCACGCCAGTGGCCCAGGAGAGCCGGCGGAAACGCCTCGATTACATCTTCACGAGCAACCGTCAGACTTCTGAGGGGGAGGAGGGCCCGCCTACGGCGTCCGTGTGGAAGCTCGAAGCAGCGCTGCTGGCAGCAGTCGCCGGGCAAGACGCCGAGGTGCGCCGACAGCTTGATGTCGAAGATGAATACCTTGCCCACTTGTTGGGGCGCTACCGGCCCAATGGGGATAAGATCACCGCTGAGGAGTTCCATGCGTGGGTCCTGAAGGCCAAGAGCCGCGCTGCGATACTCGAGAAAGAGACCCAGGATTCGGAGCAAGAGATCGCGCAAGATGAAACAAAGCAAGCCGAGGAGATCTTTGACATGGTAGACCGAGATAAGAGTAACTGTGTCGACCGCGACGAGTTGAGGAAGGTTTACCAGGCGATTGCGAAAGCCTTGGGCAAGAAGGATGCGAAGAAAACTGGGAGGCAATGGAGCCAGAAGGCGTTCAAAAAAGCTACGGATTCCTTCAACAAGGGTGAATTCGTTGAGCTCATGCGCCGCGGGGTGCATCTCAAGCAACTGTTTAATCCAAGAGTTTTCGACGCAGTGAAGGCTGAGCTTGATGAGCTTCATGCCCAGCCTTGAGCTCGGGGGGGTGAGGAGGAACAGGATGGCCGAGGATGAAACTGGAATGTTCGGATGTGGACGAGGAGGAGGACGAGGGACAGGGAAAGGAAAGGGGAACGGTATTAGGATGAGGTGGATGAGCAGGAAGAGTAAGGGGAACAGAGGAGATGGGGGAGGAGGGAGGGAGATGGAGTGATGACGACGATGACGTCGACGACGAACACGACGACGACAACGATGGTGATGATGATGATGAGGCTGATGATGAATCTGATGAAGATGATGATGATGATGATGATGATGATGATGATGATGATGATGATGATGATGATGATGATGATGATGATGATGATGATGATGATGATGATGATGATGATGATGATGATGATGATGATGATGATGATGATGATGATGATGATGATGATGATGATGATGATGATGATGATGATGATGATGATGATGATGATGATGATGATGATGATGATGATGATGATGATGATGATGATGATGATGATGATGATGATGATGATGATGATGATGATGATGATGATGATGATGATGATGATGATGATGATGATGATGATGATGATGATGATGATGATGATGATGATGATGATGATGATGATGATGATGATGATGATGATGATGATGATGATGATGATGATGATGATGATGATGATGATGATGATGATGATGATGATGATGATGATGATGATGATGATGATGATGATGATGATGATGATGATGATGATGATGGTGCGTGCACGTGTGGCAGCAGGAGAGGCAAGCGAAATGTTTTCCCTTGAGCCATAAGTGGAACGGACGTCACACATGATGGTCCTCAGACCATCTGTCCCTGAGTGAAACGCATATGCTAAACCTATGTCACAAAATATGGTCCCCAGCAACATGGGTCCAACTTTCTCTAGGTTTAGCATTCCCCGGGAAACACTACAGAAGTCCGTGTCCACTGCCTTGCAGTGTCGGTCGGCATCGTGCCGATCGACGAACTCTGAAACTCGAAGCAACAGCGCAGAGGATAGGAGAGGATAGCAGACTATTGGAAAGCGGGATTGGAGGAAGAGGGAGAGGAGAAGATGGACGGGAGGACACCACCACCACCACCACCGACCAGGCCAGGAGGAGCAAGCTCGTCCAGGTACTCCTTCCAGGAAATCCAGGTAGGCCCGGCCAGCATCTTTCTGGAAGCTGACTGGGAGCGGTCCTTCAGCTCGGGGGTGGCACGGCGTCGATCCACCTCGGACTCTTCATCCACGAGAACGATCCTGCCACTAGACATAAAATCAAACAGCGCTGCATTGCACTTGGTGATGTCATCCTTTGTAAGAGCATCCACCGGCATTCTGCCGTGAGGAATCCAGCGGACCCGTCCTCGAGCACGCTCGAGGGACTCACAGATGATCGCTAGGTCAAGTGCTGTCCGGCGGTCTCGGGCTGACGCGTTCCCCTCCTTCTGCATCGTGTCATAGATGGACTTGGCGTCTACCACATGGATTTGCTGCTCTCGACTTCCTAGCCTACAGTCCCGCCGAAGGACAGTGGTGAACGGACCTGAGGCTCGAACACAGTCGGGTAGGTCGACGTCCTGAAACACAACGTCCCGATAGAGCACCTGTAGGTACTCGACCTCTGCCACGGCTGCCGATAGGGCCTGGGTTTCCCCGGCCAGAGTCGACGGGACCTTACGTCGTAGCTTACTACTGCGCCAGCCCAGAAGAGAAGCTCGAACGGATTGGTTATCTAGAACTGACTTGTCGGCGGCCAGCACCATCCAAGCTCCTTGGGTGGGGTCGGATGGCAGCCCGTTGTCGTCCACCAGTGACTCGACCGAGCCGACTCCACCAGCATCTGAGAACGATATGAAAGCCATGTGCTCCGGGTTCAGCCTCCAGACGGTAAGGCCTCGAGACGCAGATGCTCGAAGGTGTTTGGCTAACTTATTCGCACAAGCAACATCTGACACCGTCGGAGCTCGGAGCCGACTGGCTAAAATACTTGCAACTCCAGCGGCCTCCGGACGTGATTCCCTCCCCACCCAGTTAAACTTGTACACCAGGGATCTGAGGGCCTTGAACTCTGTGGGTTCCAGTGGTGCATTCTTGTGTGTCATCCTGCCTCGGGCCAGGGTGAGTGGACGAATCTCCTCGAGAATGTACTTCTCTTGGTCGATCGTGACTTTGCCTGGAGCGAACGTAACTCGGCGGCCTGCGAAATCTACTGGTCTCACGTGGCAATCACGATATTTGCCGAAACGAAAACGGTTCTCGAGCACACTTCGGATCCAGGAACGGGCCGATGCATCGGAGCTGCCGATGAAGAAGTCGTCGACTTCTAATAGCATCATGTTCTGGATGGTACCGTCGGACCGATACTTCAACCACCAGCATGGCTCCAATAGGCTGCGTACAAAACCGTGCTTCTCCAGATGGCCCACCACGGTGCGCCTCCACGCTACAGGAGCGTCGTCGAGTCCGTACACATTCACTAGCAGGAGGATGAGCGAGCCCGGCTCCACCTGGATGCCCTCGCAGGGCTCGAGGTAGATCTGGCCCTGGGACCTGGACATGGGGTCGGACTGGGTGAACGCATTCTTGACATCCGCGATGTCTCCTAACATATTGAAATTGGCCAGGACTTGGACAAACATCATGATGGATGACGTTTGTGGGGTAGGTGCATACACGGCCAGGGATCCAGAGTCCGGGTCCTTATGCCCGTGGACGCACCATCGGGACTTAGCTTCTGGCTCGGTAAACGTTCCTTCCACCGGCCTCCACCTCCTGACCATCCGGCTCGATATTATACGTTCCGGTTGGAGCTGACGGATCTTAGCCGCTTGGGCAGGAGGGATGACTCGGACACCCCCGGACTGCATCATGGATTGCCACTCCTTGTCGTCGGAAGCCTGGAACTTCTGGCGCTCGGGGGGGGTAAGCTGCTTCAAACTCACCTCCCCGCCTCGGCTGGCCGCGAAAACACCACCGTCCTGAAAACTCTCCTCGAGACTCCTGGTCCAGCCTTCGAAACCAACAGGGATCGTGCCGAGCCCGTCCACGGCGCCCGGGACCACCCAGAAATCCCCCCTTGGCTCGGCCCCCGCAAACCCCTCACTAGTCTCCCTTCGACCCGGGGAGCGGGACCTTCCCCTGGATTCAATATCTCGAACCCGCTCCATAACGGATCGGCTGTCCTCCCTACCAGTCACTACAGCTCTGGACGTCTCCGGGCCTGGTCCTGGACCGGAGGAGGAGGAGGAGTCATCACCACCACTGCCACCACCAGGGGGAGGAGGATGAGAGGAGGTCCCCGCCGCGGGGGGGACGCCAGAGTCGAGGGTCCTAGCCCTCTTGACCTCGGGAGGCGCGCTCCCTGCCCGGGCGGCCCGGATACAGGCCGGCACGTCGTCGGGCTGGGAGATCCTCGCTCGGGGCTTGGCTGCTCCGGGAGCATGCCTGTCCCGGTCGGGGGGAGGACTAGAAGGATGAGGAGTGTCGGGAAAAGGCCTCGCGTCCTCGGAAGGAGGCCCGGGAGGAGAGGAGGAGGAAGGAGGAGAAAGACCAGGGGGAGGGGGGAGAGACGGAGAGAGAGAGCTCCCGGGCTCAACTGAACCTCCTCCTGTGTCGGCCCTCTCGACCTCTTCCTGAGAGCGAGCAGGACTCGGAGGAGTGTTGATTGACCGATCCGCCTCTGAAGGCGGCCCCTCTGAGATTGACGGCAGACCCGTCCGCTCTGATCCTGGCTGCGCCACGACCGATCCGGCTCGAGACTGACCTCCTCGGGACGGCCTTCGTGGGAGGCCGAGGGGTCCCGTGACCGTAGGGGCCTGGGGTCGAGACTCTGGCTCGGGATCGCTCCTCGGAGCAGGTCCTGGTCCTGGAACCTGGGGCCCGGCGTCGAGGTCGGCTCGGGCCGCCTCGTCCCAGGCGCTGTCGGGGGGAGCCCCTTCACGTTGGACGTCCACTGCCGTCACACGACGGGCCTGGACGGCCTGCAGGAGATCCTGCCAGCGCGGGTCCTCAGCCAGCTGAAGGCCGTACTCCTCTTCTGGACTAGCCAGTCGGACCTGCTCGGCCGAGCACTTCCAGAGCCTGGCCCGGACAGCCACCCAAACCGTGCCCCCCTCGGCCAAAACCACGACCCCGGGACCCGTCCAGCCCGCCCGGCGCCGTCCGAGGGCGTCGGCGCGAGAGGACATCCGGGTAAAGTGACGCCAGACAAACACCCACTGGCCTGGGGTAAATCTGCGATTCCCTGGAGTCCTGGCCCGGCTGGCTCGTGAGATGTTGTCTCGAGCGGTCGCCTCCATCGCCATCCTCCGGGCGGCTGCCCGGATGGCGTGGGCCCGGGCAAACTCAGCCCCGGCTTCATCTTGTTCCGAGGATGGGCTGGTGACGTCCTGCCACCCTGGCAGCGCCTTGTGGTCATCAGAGAGCAGATCGTGGGGAAGCCGAGGGTTCTCTCCGAACACGAGTTGGAGAGGAGAGAAGCCCCCGCGATGCCAAAACCGATTCTTATGGGCGACCAGCTCGAAGATCAAGTCGTCCAGCTCCTGAAGGCTAGCTGGAAGGGCGGCCCCGGTTTCTAACTCGGCCCGGACCCGCTCCTTGACCCAACCCCCGTGGCGCTCCACCCTGCCGTTTTGCCACGGAGAGTCGGCGTCGCACACATGGTGACAAACTCCCCACTGCTCCAGGCCCCGGGCAAACCTGGCTCCAAACTCGGACCCCCCATCCGAAATCAAAAGGTGAGGGGCCCCCAAGGGCCTGACCCAGGACCGCAGAAACTCGGACCACACGGCAGCTGCCGTCGCACTCCCTACTCTCGAGACTACCTGAAGGTTGGAACCATGATCGACTATGTTCAAATACGGGTACGTGGTTCCCTGAAACTCAAGATAGAAAAGGTCCACCCCGACAATATGGTTAAATCGAAACGTCCTGGGAAGCGCCACTTTCCGATGGGCTCCCGATCGAGATCTCTCGGCGCAGTCGGAGCAGGTAAACTCAC